ACACCCTTGATAATTTTTGTCCATTGATCTTCTTCAATTCATCTGATCCTACGGCCGAAAATTAAAAAGGTATATAAGAAATAAAATGAAGTGTGTGGATATCACATCTCTAAAAAAAAAACTTCCAACTTCAGTTAAACAAAAGCTAATTAATTAGTATAATTATTACACTAATGAAAAGTAAAGAGTTTCACCAAACGTCACGTCTCGTGATTAATTCATTGTATACTTCCATGCTTAAAGAGGCTAAGTTTCAGCATCGAGTTAGCAGAAATAGCTAAGGCGAAACTCTTAATTTGCAACGTCTTATATGAAATATTAGTTTATACGATTGCTTATGATGGAAGAGATAAGCGATAATAATGCTTACAAAACGTCGCTACGACACGTTGCAAGCAAGTTTTCTACTAACATGGTGAGTCATATCACTCAAGGCTGGCAGACCTTGTAATTCTTTTCCCTACAAATGCTTCTACTTTAAAAAGAACCAGAAGTGAACCAAATCTGGTATGCGTATTATCAAGTTCTCAAAACTGCAAAAGTCTTGTCAGCTGTGCCGAATAAGACATACGTATATGGACTATCAGTTTGATTAGAGACTTAGAGTAGCATAGTTTTGACATAAATCAACATGCAGATTGAGATTGACATTATTACTACCGAATATTATTTTTACTTTTCATTCATCTTTTATTAATTTATGTATTTTAATTTTCTTCAATTCATCAAATTCTACGGTTGAAAATTAAAAGAATGTATGAGAACTAAAAAATATGTGAGGGATATGACACCCCATATTTTATGAACAGAAGGGATGTGCATTGGAAGCAAAAAGAAAATTTTCATTCTGACTAGAACAAAGGTGGTAAACTATGTGTCATTATTTAAGTGGAGGGAAGTTCAATGGAAATTATTATTGGCACTCCAAAAATCTTATTATGCACTTTTAACTTTTTATAAACATAAATAAAAATATATTTGTGAGAAGTGTTTGAATGAGATTTTTCGAGTGCTAACAGTTTCCAAGTTTTATTTTTTAAGTTAATTTTTTTAACACAAATATCTCACAACTTTTATAGTAACACATAACTCTGTATTCCGAGTACACTGAAAAATCTCTCAGAAGCACGGTTCTGTATTCAAAGAGAGATGCTTGCATGTACAAGTATACGATCCTCATTACACATGACATATAATTATTACAGCAACCACGTATGTAGCTATTTCATACAAAATCCTCTTGTATTTGTAGGTCAAAAAATTGAATAAAGATTCATATTGGATCAGCTATGAAGATATATCTCGTATAAAAAATACTTAAATTATATATAGGATCGCAATAACTTATGAACATGATGAAAAATAACAAAACTAGTAAAACTGAAAAAGGAAGAAAAAGTTACATGCAAAGATGGTGATGCTTCACCATCATGCACTATGACAAAGTGAAAATATGAATGTGTAAAATACATGTAAATATAACATTTCAGTTATATGTAATTTTATTTCTAAACAAAAGAGGTCGCTTGAACATGTAAATATAACATCTCAGTTGCGTGGCAAAGTTAAAATGCGAACGTGATAGAATTAAAGCATGAAGAGACACAATTTTTGCTCATTGGCATCCAAAGATTACCTCTCCTATCTAGTTAAGTTAGTATACAACTGAGGGTAAAATAGCAAAGTCAGATGTGCACATACGGATGAAGGATGTGATTGCAAACTCCAAGCGTGAAATTATTAATTGACGTTCCACAGATGGACTTCTCTTTGGTCATTGTCCAACAGATCATACTGATTTGAGTTTGAGAAGACCCTTCACCTTGACAGCACCTACAGTGCCTTTATTTGCTCTCTCTCTCTCTCTCTCTCTCTCTCTCTCTCGCTATTTACCATTGCAATAATCCCCAAAACCCAGGAAGCATCGAAAGAAGTAAACCAGAAGACAGACCAAAACCCTGGAAGCATCGAAAGAAGTAAACCAGAAGACAGAGAAAAGTAGGGACCCGGCTTCTCTGCCTCCCAGTTCTCGAACATTTTCATTCTCTCCTATTTTATTCGATCATGATTATACACGTTTACATTTTATATTAATTTTTATAAAAATAATAATGATATAAAATATTGACGTGATTTAACCGTGACCGCACAAATAAGAAGAAATAGGAGTATATGAGATTTGGGAGGGCAAAGAAACCAGGCCGAGAAGTAGAAGTTACAGACTCACAGTCAACCAAGTGCTTAGTTTTTGGGACTAGGATTCTCTCCTATCCTCTTTCTACCATCTTCCATCTCCTTCTTTGTCCATCCCCTTATCTAGCATTCTCTATTTTATCTTTCTATTTCTATAAAAAATTAATATAAAGATGTTAACGTGACTTAACAATGACCGTTCAAATAAGAGAGAAAAGAAGAGGAGGGAAAAAGAAGAAGAAAGAGAATCCTACTCCTAGTTCTTGTTACGAGATAAACTTTGTTAAGGTTACTTGATTAGGTCATTTTCCATCTTCAAGTAAAATTATGGAAAATGTTATTGATACTTCAAAATTCTCATTCTACACTTCTTATAAATGTATTTTTTTTTCTAATATATAAAATTTAAAATGCAAAATAAAATTTTTGAAATACTAATAACAATTCCTAAACTTATATGCAATAAGTGTCCAATAAATTATAATGATGTAGTCGTACTATCTTACCGAAGCTTTTCTTATCTTATTAGTGATTTTCCTGAAAAATTGTTTGACTAGAACATCTTCCACTATCGAGTAGAATTACCGTATCTAAATCCAAAATAATAATATATTATACTTTATAAGAAGTATCATAAGAATAATTTGGTCTTGAAATTAACCCTACCCAGTAACTTGTTAAAAAAGCACCCACTACTAAATGGATAAGGATCATCTCTCCTCCTTTTTTCTTTTCCCACTTCTCTATAGTTTTTTTTTTCTTTTCTCTCTAATTTTGTCTCTTTTTTTTCTTCTATAAAAATAAAATCTTGAACATTCAAACAAAAGAAGAAGAAGAAAAAATAAAATAAAATAAAATAAAAATAAAAAAGAGAATCCTTGTCCCTACTAGACAACCTCCTTAAAAAAGTTCCCTCGCCCACACCATCTACCACAATCGGTCGCTGATGAGAGAGCTTGTCCTTTTTTCTTTGTTGTAATGCCTGATGATGAGCTGAGTGAGTGAGTTAAAAGTTGAGAGGATAAGTTTTTTAATGGAATTAGCGACAAGTTTTATGGTTCAGACCAATCCTTCTTTTAATACATTTTATTTTATGTATGAAATGTTAGCGATAGGTCATATTTTTTAATTACATTTTGCAAATTACATAATATTAATGGGCTGAATTCGTTATTTAATGATTTAACGAAATTTTTTAATCATTAATCATCACATTATATAATTTTTTTAAATATAATTTAAGTAAATGATATTTCTAACACCAACTTTAATGTATTTGTGTGTATATATGTGTGCAAGGTAAAAACGTGACATGAAGAAGTCTCCTCAGCATGCAGCACTGACTTTATTCCCATAGATGGTTAAAAAAGCAAAAAATGCTTCTGATAATATCATGATCTGGTTTCTGGGTTTTCTCAACATACCTCACCAGTTTCTCGATCCCCAAAGTTTCCTTCTTTTATCCACTTCTGGCCACTCCTCTCTGTGGGCTTTTGGTGTTTTTTGATAAACCAACCTCCACACTGACCATTTTCAGGTAAGAACTGAGATTCTCGTCATTTTCTTTTTTTTTTTTTTTTTTTTTTTTTTTTTTTTTTTTTTTTTTTTTTTTTTTGAAATGAATGTGATATTCATTCACTCGTATTTACCTCTCAAGCACATTTATTAATTTTTTATTGTTGATATTTTTCAATTTATTTAATCTGACAACAAAAAATAAAAAGAATTCTATGAGAAATAAAAATAAATGTGTAAAAAGTAAAAATGAGTATGTAGAATGTAAATAACACTACTCATCTAAAATCACTCACTATCAACGGAGTGTCTTGTCAACTTCCTTTTTATTTTTGACAAGTTTTATAATCTTGATATATGAAGCCAAGGGCTTAATACACAATGTTTTTTGATGTCACAAGTTTCGTTAAAATAATTGGATAAAAATGCATTTCAAATAAAAAACTTCAAAAGCAATCCAAAATAATGCATCAAATGTGGTAATAGTATTTAAGTCATTTTAACAGTATTTTTTAATAATTAAATTTTTTTGTACAGTTTTTTTTAATAAGTAGTATCTCATAATAGACTAGCAATAATGTGATTCAATCAGTTGTTCATTAAATATTATTTTCTCTATTTTTAAACACTTTAAAATATCTTAAGATGAGTGTAATACCGATTTTTAAATATATTTTGCACGCAGATAATAATGTAATTAAATTAGTTGTCAAAATTTTTTTTTAACAAACGATATTATATACAATAAGGAGGAGGAAGATGAGCTTAGCCTCACAATGGACTAGCAATAATATGATTAAATCAATTGTTTATTAAATATTATTTTCTTTATTCTTAATATAAATTCAATAGAGACCGATTTTATTACGTAAATTCAGCTGCTTTAATTGGTTTATAAGAGATTTCTTCTAACATGATTTAAGATTATTCGTTTACCTCAAATATTTGACTTTCATTTTATCAATTTACGCATATAAATACATTTTAAATGCATAAATTGTGCGTAATATGCTGTGATTCAAAAAATATGTTCTACAGGCATTTGCATGAAGGCTAGTGAATATAATTTCTACTTTGAACACCTTCAACTTATTATACAATAAAAATGGAAAGATGTGAATAAAATAAAAATAAAAAGGCTAAATAACACCACCCTAAATATAAAAACAAAACAATAATTAACCATAATTTTATGCCTCCACTTTCTCCGTCACACTTCCAACTCTTTCTTTTTTAATTTTAATTTCTAGCTAGTGTTGATAATTTGATATACAGGCGAGGTAGATTCCTGATATTATTCTCTCTTGTACCTTTCAGCTTTTTGCTTCCCAAGAAATAAATAAGTTTTTATCTCATTACCAAATGCCAACCAAATGTAAATAATTCTCCTCTTATATATACAGGAAGCAGGTCCATTTTTGCTCTCAGTCATCTCTGTCTCCCTCTCTTCTGGTTGGCTTTTTTTCTAAAGGCACTTAGCTTTCAATTTTTGGATGTTATCAGAGCAACCCACCAGTGGCAGATTGGAGTGGTATGATGAGCAAAAGCAGTGGTTTTGGTGAGGAAAGAAATGGTGAAGATTTTGAAGAAGAAGATGTGTGGGGTTTTGTAAAGGAGAGGGAAAACTCAAGTCCCAAGAAGCTGAGGAATTCCAAAAATAATAGCTCCTCTACTTCTTCTTCTTCCTCTTCCTCCTCTGCATCTGCATGGCGCCTACCTACTGCTGCAAGAACAATCCCATGGGCCCATAATAATCGTCCGGCTGACCATGAAGTCCAAAAATCAGCTCCTGTGGCAATCCCTGATTGGTCAAAAATTTATGGCAAGAGTGCCGAGATTGGTTCTTCGGTTCATGATGATGATGATGTGTATGGTGTCAATAGGGATGGCGATGGTGATGGTGGTGTCATTGGTGATGGTGATGATGATGACATGGTTCCTCCACATGAATGGGTTGCCAGAAAGCTTGCAAGAAGCCAGATTTCATCATTTTCTGTGTGTGAAGGGATTGGAAGAACACTCAAAGGAAGAGATCTCAGCAAAGTAAGGAATGCTGTTTTGACTAAAACTGGTTTCCTAGAGTAATTATTTCAAAGAGCAACTTGGAACAAGTTCATCGCTGACGTTTCAATCCAATTACTATAATGTGACGTCACGATTTTAGTACACCAGTTTAAAGTCCTTTCTCAACAGTTTTACCATATTTTTATTTATTTTGCTTTTCTTTAATTACTGTTAGCAAATATAGTAGGTGGAAGTGGAACTAGGTAGAGCGAGTTAGAGGTGCCCTCTTACGGTGTGTGATATTTTCCAGTAAAAACACGAAGGAAAAAGATGGAAACCATTTGGCAGCCTCTGAGATTTTGTATGGTAGTCACTACTTGTCAAGTAAATAAGGAATTAGTTAATCTTTATGCTGTTTAATTTGGCATTAATTTGTAGTCGACCAAAATGCGATTGCTGATTTTGGTAGAAATTTGCAAAACCGATAAACGATCCTCATTGTTAATTGAATTGAGTTTTCGTAAGAAAATTTCACAGGCATTAACAAAAATGTTATGACTTATGAGATCTCTGTAAATGAAAGATACAATAATTTGATCAAAGACATCCCTCGGTACATGCCAGCCAGCTCCAACAAATGAATGACTATTCATCCTTATTATTTTTTTTTTTTTTGGAAACTTTGGCTATTCCTCTTTTGCCGACATGTGATTGCAGTAATTTATGAGAAATTATGACCCAAAAAAAATCTGAGAATCAGGGGCAATATTAGGTTATCATATTTCATTGGTGCTTGCAGGTTTTCTAACCACTCAAATTCCACAAAAATCTTGCAAATTTTTAGTGCTGGGTAAACTTGGGTTGCCCTTTTTATCAAATGGAACATTGGATCCCAAATCCTCAAGGTGCCTACTGTTGAGAATCAATGTCAAGCTCAAAACCATAAGTAATCCACAACCCAATCTAAAGTTCAAGTCCATATTTAGTTTGATGATGTAATTGCTTACAATTGCAATGTTAGGTATGGTTGAGTGGAAAAAATTAGGTGCAACTAATGGGTTTTGTGTGGTACTAAATAATCTTAGTTTAATTAAGTGTGTGGTGTAGCTTTCATTTGGTTTGCTATAAATACCCAAGTCCCCAAGCATTGTATATCATCCAAGGAAAAACAAAGCCTAGAGCTAAATAAGAAAAGCTTTGCTAATTAGTTTGTTTTGTGAGCTTTCTTTAAGAGTGTGCTCTATTTTCTTCTTCTTGGGATCATTAGAGTTATCTTGGATACTTTTCTTATTCAACAATTGGTATCAGAGCCAAGTCGGTCAGGGATCGTTCTTGGTAGAGCATTGGTTGTAAAGTCTCTTGAAATTTCGAGTATGCTTTGTGGTTGCAGTTTTGACTGATCTTCCACATCAGAAAAGATTTCTTGAGATTATTGTTGGGGTTATCACAAACCTTGAGAGGGAGCTTCTTTGTGTCGAGAGTAGTGTATTACTCTGCACGGTAGTCACTCAAGCTTGTTCGGTGTAGTCAAAGTCTTGCCGATACGATGGGTGATCTTCAAGTTATTGGAGGAATCAAGAAGCTCAACAACCAAAACTATAACACGTGGGCAACGTGTATAGAGTCTTACCTTCAAGGTCAAGACTTGTGGGAGGTTGTCGGTGGTAGTGAAGCTACACAACCGGCAGCGGAAGATGCTAACGGCGTCTTGCGGAAGTGGAAAATTAAAGCAGGCAAATCAATGTTTGCTTTAAAGACCACAACAGAAGAAGAAATGTTGGAGCACAT